AAGCCTAACTAAAAGTCTCGAGAGTTTCTCATTCCTACATCAATGTGTTGTAAGCCAACTGCAGGGGCTAAATTTTGTCAGTATTCCTGGTGGATTAGCTCCCTAATCCATCAATTATGCAGACTCATTTGCTAAATCCTGTGAGGTTACGAAGCTACATTGTGTGTGACCCAAAATAGAGTCAAGAGATGTCGTTGGTGGTTTTCCCAGTGCCTGTGGATCGCATATCTCAAAATAGGTGTACTGCTGTCTCCATTTCGCCAATTTATGGAGATTCTGAGACAAGCACAGCATGATTATGTCCTATTTTTCATTATTTTGTGTGCCCAATCAACTAAGAGTTAATTAATTGTACTGACGGCCTTTGTTCTGCCCAGGTCCTCATTGAATTGAGCACAATGGATATGATTGTCCCAGGAGACAGAATCATTCAGTATTCGGCATAAGATATTCATTTAAGATTCCAATTTTTTAATACTCTTAAATGAACAAATAAGTCATTCAGGATGTATTTTTGCAGGCCCCGGATAGATAAGTGTTTACACCGAGTTCCTCTAAGATTGAATAGCTTTTATTGGCAACAAGCGTGGCAGTTTCATGTATGTGCTCCGCCTTTTTCTACAGATTTCCAAGTATTTAGATGAGGCTAGTGAAGAGCATCTACTTGGAGGTAAATAGCGCCAACCACATGAAAGTTTGGGGGAATTTTTGACACCCTAATGGACACTTCCGATTGGTGATTGTGAGCTCGAATTTCCTGACATTATTTGGACAGGAATGGACTTTAATCATAACTACATTTTACGTACGTTCAAAGTTAAAAGTCCTCAGTTTTATGCTTCAACTCTTAAAGTTTACCAATGAAATATTTTAGGATTAGAGAAGGTGTTTTAAGTGCTCTTTTAACAACCATGTAGATACCAGTCAATGAATAATTCAATCTAGCCGAGGACTAAGGCATATCAACCCTCGACATAGAGTGGATTTCTGTCTTTCCCTCAAAAAGCAGTGACATTTATTTCGGAGGTGGAGATGACCACAATAACTGCTAGCAGGTTAGGGTCATTCGGACCATCTACAGCAAAATTGACAGGTGTTTTTGATATAATTCGTCAACATAATAAATCGGACAGGCTTTTAGGGTGTCACAAAAATAGAAAAAGAGGGTTGGACTACCGCATTCCGAAGTTTAGTGAGTTACCATCATCCTTGGCAGTGTTGCCTCTCTTACGATCATTCACAAAACGGAATGGGGAAGGTAAGGTGAATTGATACCTCAGTGAAGGGTTTTTTGGGTACGTTCACAAGCCTTCTCCCTCATCTACCGACCAAAAATCTCCCAGTTGCATATCTAGATGATTTCTTTTCTAACTTTTTTTAAAGAATACTATGGGGAGCTTTTAATTCATAAGATTTAAACCCCTCCTGCCAATCTCAGTGCCAATCAGTTGAGAAGTGAGGATTTGCGGACTCGGCACACCTCCTATGTGTCTCTGGGGATTCAGCTCTCAAGGATAAATGCTGCTTCTTGTCATGTTTCAGAAGTGATTGGCCTCTCCACTGCGAACAAATCTGTATGAATCTTTTCTGAAGAAGAACATCTGGTTCCCAAAGACCAGTTCACGCTACAAAGCACTTTAGGGAGGGAGGGAAAAAGTCTGACAGATGCTGCTTCATCCTCACCATTGTCATCCCTTTATCCCTGATGATACTTCTCCAAGCATAAGACAATCACTTGATCACACTCGAAGTAGGGCAGACAATTGGATACAAAGTGAGATAAGTAGGAATGAAGGGTGTTAGAGAGAGACTGTTTCTCTCTAGATACAAAATCCTTGATAAAAGTAGAAATGACAGTAAGCTTGTGTCTGGTTGGGGAGGAATGAAGTACTTGAAGAGGCTTTCTGCAGTTTATTTGAATTCACAGACCTGTTTGATTATCCTTATAGGCCAGTTCGTCACTGAAATAAGTCATCAAATAATCACATTCAATTTTCAAATAATTGTCTAATCTGCTTTTCGAGAGCGGTTTTTTACTTACTAGTTAATAAAAACGGTTAGTGTGGCTCTGAAATGGCAATTTTTCAAGCTCCAGTTCACAATGTACTGGTTTACAGGATGAAAGTAAGAGGCGGTAAAAAAAGGTGTGCTAGAACATGTAACAGACTTATCACGGTCGGAACATTTCAAAAAACGACTAATCAACAGCTGGACGGTCAAGAAGCATCATGTACTCCCGTAAAGCCAACGCCCCTAGGGTGATATGTTGGACAAGGTTAACAAATTTTACTAATTTTTTACGAATAGATGGTATCTCTTGGTGCAACGCTAAAGTTATAATGCCGTGGGAGTCATTTCTATCTTCTGATCCTCAAGGTCGGAATTGCGGTCTCGCTTTTTACATGGCTAACTGCCATTAAACACCTTATAGGGGTTTTCACTTTGGCAGACAGTTCAGTCCAATTCCCTGGATTTTTAAGCGTTGAGAAGCACTTTATCAGCAACGAAACGATTGAATTATAGGCGTAAATGCAATCCAGTAGCGTGAAGAGACACTACTGGTCTCTCAACCCTTCTGTTGTCCTCAGGAGTGATACCAACGCCACAGTACCGAGAGCTGCATTAAAGCAGATACAACACGGGAAATGCAAATATACGCATAATTCTAAATCCAAAGTCAGCAGTGTTTTTTTTCCTGGATTTTTTTAGTCTGCGGTGACATCCATGGCCAGTTCTACGATCTGATGAAACTCCTCGAAGTTGGCGGCGATCCGTCAGCAACACAGTACCTCTTTATGGGCGACTACGTCGATCGGGGCTGTTTCAGCATGGAGGTACGTGAAAACTTTGAGGTGTAGGGCCTCACAATTCCTCTACTAATGATGCGAATGCGTGAAATAGTTTGGTACGAAAGGGAAATCAAACCAAATGAGTTAAAAGAATAATTATTCAATCTGGGAAAGGCGAGTGTCTGAAATAATTATGCTACTCAAATGACCATTTTTGGCGTAAGTATGCGCAATTGTCCTATCATAACCACAAAAAGATATGAAATTGCAATGCCCCGAGGCTTCCCTGAAGACGAAAGAAGATACATTACTCGGGAAGAATACAGAAGGGAGGGGCTACTGGCACGGCCCAAAGACCAGACCGTTCGGTAAGGGTACTATGGCAAAGCCCGCGAGTGGGCCTTTACCGAAACCAAGTGTTAAATAATTAACATATTATATAGCGCCCCTCTTTTAATCGTCCTCCCAGGTGCTCCCCTTGACAAATCTCCTGCGTCAGTCAACACAACGTAATTCATACTGTAAGAAAAACACCCACAGGGCAACCGTGCTAGTCATCAAGTTCCCATGTAACTGAGGTGATATTAATCCCTCTTGGTGATTCTACTGGAGCTAGAGTTTCGTCCCATTTGAAAACTGTGTTATGGGGAAGAGAGACTGTGTCGGTCATCACTCATGTCCACTGCTAGTTGAAGAAACAGCGGCCTAAGAGTTGGAGTCGAATGGCAAAAGACGGGAGTCAATATCATTCCATAGGGATAGCGTTTCGCGTCTACTACTTTATTCTCACTTCAAAGCTGTCCAGTTATATCTACCTGGATCCCATCCAGCTAATAGAGAGGTGGAGGAGGTGTCGCGTGTTCACATGATTAATATCACCATACAGGAACAGCAGACAGCTCTGTAACGAACTAATCCAGATTGTTTGCAGCTAGTGTCACTTCAGTTGTCAATGGCTTTTCTGCAGATCAGGGGACTGGGGCGGTTGCCGAAGGTAGACGCCATTTTCAGCTTTTCCGTTAGGAGTCGTTACGGATTTTCCTATCTGCATCATGCGCACTTCTTCCGCCCCGCTAAGGTTTACCACCCAGCAGTAGAAATCAGGGTAGTTGTCTTTTAGTACAAAGTTTGCTATCCGCCACCGATGTAGCGACAGAGGCTTCTTGAGGACGAAAGAAGAGACAATTCTTGGGCAGAATATGTATTTTATAGAGTAGAGCTTGGAGCTACCGGCATGGCTCGGAGGCCAGACGACCCGGCGGGGGTACGACGGTGAAGCCTCCAAGTGGTCCGTTAGCAAAACCAACAGTTAAATAAACAATTAAAGCATTACAATTGAATGTGGCAGCTAAAAGTTTGCAAAGGCTGGTCATTTTTTAGTGCGCGTATGTTTTAGTCAATCAAAGGACAAAAGCAATGTCAAAAGTCACCTCTTTTGAAGAAAGTTTAGCATTTTTTTAGTTTATTTACAAAGAGTCTATTCAACCTCTTAGCCCCGCAAAGAACTTGGTAATAACTTTTAGCGCTACTTATGAAGGAGAGACAACTAGGGGTCACTAGCCCACCACTTTGAGCTTCTTCAGGCAAAAAACTATAAAGTCATACCTTTGATCCTAGGTTAGTGTGTCTATGAATTATGCAGAAATTTTGTGGTTTTTAAAATGACACCAAAACCCAAAAGCGTTTCATCTGGACAGACAAAAAACCGTTTTACCGAATGTAAACAAATTAATGTTTCATGTTTGTTTGCACCAGGGCCTTGGAAAATTTAAAGCAAACAGCCGACTTATTGTCCGGTCCTTGCTGCGTGGAATGTTTCATGTAGCGAATTTCCAAGAATAATGTATTCGATTTCATAGAAATCGGCAGTGGTTCGGCAGATAACGCATCCACCTAGTTTAGGGAAAAAAATGCTTGTGATCAAAGAGTTACAATGCAATAGTTGATCGGTCCATGTGCCTTGCCTGCCAAATCATTATGATTTGATCAGCTTACAATGAGCTAAGATGTGCGTCCTTTGTACTCCACTTTCTCCCCTCCTTGAAAGCTATGATGTTGGACGAGCAAGCAGACTTTACACAGCCGGTTATGGCGCATTTCGTCTCTCTCCCTCCAACCATAATCCGCACGGCATGATTCCATGGATCGCATACAATCACCCATCAGGTTTCCTTGATCTACTCGTTTGCCTTCTCAGCCACCAATATTGTCAAGGAGGTAGCCAAGGCAAACATCACTGCTGCTAATTCACACTTAGTTTAAAATATCCACGTAGCTGACATAAAGGGAGCTGTCCAAAATGCTCCAAATACTTTTTGTCCGTTCAATCATGGTGCATTCATGAAAGGCAGCCCTGTCAGCACTCAGGAAATCGCATTTGAATTTCCGTGACTGCAAATCCAACGAGTTATGCCCACATTCGTCAAGGGCGATCGTATTCACCGACAACGGTCAGCATTTTGATTACTTTTTTTTCTGTATTTTACAGGATAATTAACCCAAAGAATAAAAACAAAAGGAGCATCAACTTCAAAAACTGGCTTTAATGAGCTTGAAATGTCAGAAGTGAGCTTGGCACTACTTAGGAGGACCAAATATTCCGCACTCATCGAATCTTTACTTTGTTTTAGTGTGTGCTCTACCTCTTCGCTCTAAAAATGACCTACCCGCTCACCTTCTTCCTACTGCGAGGTAATCATGAGTGCAGACATCTAACCGAGTACTTCACCTTCCGACAGGAATGTGAGTCACCTGCCACCAGTATTTATCGCTCAATTTTCCTTTTGAAAAATTCATCCTTTTCCCTTGGGCTTTATGCATAGGCCTTTTGTTACTTCAAAGCTTAAGAGAGCAGTGTGCGAGGGGGGTCAGGGGGTGGGACACAGCGTTTCCGCGGTGAAATCCGCACAAGGGGCCACCATCCTCTCTTTTCATTTTCTTGCAAAATTGTTTGGGGAGTAATTGTCTAAGTGTCTTTGGCGCCTCCACCGAAACTAAAATATGAGAAATATAAAGTACAGCTTTTTGAGAAATGGTTGAAGAAGCGTTGAAGTGCTCATCCCACGTTGATTCAATCCATATAAACGCATTACGTTGCCTCATTTTGCCATTTTTAGTCAACTTTTCTTCTTGGAGTATGGGAGAAAACCTAAATTACATTACTTGAGCAAGGTATCCGGCTATGTATACAATTTTCCTACCATGAAAACATCTTAT